TATATATATATATATAAAGGTATCAAAGGTTGTTAAACTTACGGGGTGTAACATCCCTCTCCCTTTAGAACATTCGTCCTCAAATGTTAACAGACATACAAAAATTTTGCCAGAGTCTTCTCTGTAACCTTAAGCTAAAACACAACCTCTGTTTGAAGTCTGGGAAATTCACACTTTTTGTACTTGAGTATCTCGCATCTTCTTCGCCTTTACGTTACTTACTATTCAATCTCGCATCGTATCTTCTGTTTCTTTCATAACCTTCCTTCCACATAGGCGAAAATTACGCCTTAAAGCTCTACTGTAATACCTGCACCTCTAGTGCATACAAAACCTGGTGAAAACTTCATAGTGACTTCTTACGGCTCAGCTCTATGGCACGATCTGGAAACAAAAGAGGGGTAACATTTCCTAAATGCCCTATAGCCTCTCAGTTGTAAATGTGACGCGCAACACACCCATAAGTGAGACTCTACCAGGCACGGCTTTGTAGACTCCCTAGGACACGACTCGCTCTGATACCACATTGTCACGCCTCAAACTTGGGGAGGCGTGACTGGCACCCGGTGCCCCACTGGCCCGATCGAACCGCCCTGCACCTTTTTTTTTTCTTTGTAACTATCATGGGCCAACATGGCACAACTCATAATGTATAACTATAAGTGGGCAACATTGTATCACAGAACCATTTTTCATAAAACATGAATACATATGGGCCATCAGGCCTCTAACATACTGTACAAAATGAACCTCTGACTAGAAAGCCTCTAAGATTATTTGACATCAAATGGTACAGGGTACCGACCTACCCATAAGTCTGTAGAAAACACTAACTCGATGACTTATAGACTCGGCAGCACTCCGAATGAGGTGGAGTCTTACCGATGTTTAGTTGAATGCTAACCTCATCTACTATGAGGGCTCGTCAAACTGATTCTCTATACCTGCAGGCATGAATGCACCGTCCCCAACAAAAGGACGTCAGTAAGAATAATGTACCGAGTATGTAAGGCGAAACTGAAACATAACAGTAAGTCAACATTAATTAAGGACATGGAAGGAACATGGAGTAAAGAACTCAACCTGTAAGTCTAGATAGCTCTGTAAATTATGAAATACTTATAATGTCATGCATATGCGTATGATGTCATGTCGTGCATAGGTACATATGTTAATAACATCATCAAGCTTCTGAGGGCATCCCATCATATCATCTCGGCCACTGTGGAAAAAATCATCAACGTATACCAGCTGATCTGGTGGTGCGTATATAACGCCATAACCTTTCTCATATCATATATATATATATATATATATATGTATATATATATATATATATATATATGTATATATATATACACACACATATATATATGCGTATATAATGCCATCTGGTCATCAGTCAATGTGCATGTATAAATGCATGAACTGCATATGAAATACGTTAATAAAATCTCTCGGTACGTCATAAGATCATTATTCCTATGATTAATATCATGAAATAAACTTTACCAACTTACGTATTTTTAAGACCCATGAACAGATGATATAATAATATGACACATGGGGAATCAAGAACATAAACATCTCTAGTATTTTTATGAATAGAGTCATTTATGGAAATTGTGCATTTGCTCGTTTTGTTTCTGTCGTATAGATCATGCCAAAAGAAAAGAAGGGATAACCTTAACATACCTAACTTGGGATCTGGCGCTTGAAAAAAAACAAAGGTATTAGAAACACTAGGCACATATCCTGGGAGCGAATGAACATATATCGAGTATTTGTTCACATCCTGCCCGTCAAAGAAGCTCTCCCACAATTGCAACAATGGTAAATCTCCCCTAGTCAAGAACATAAAAGCCAATTTGGGCACTCTCTTAAATAGATACTCTTCCTTGTAATGCACTAATGAAGCTCTCCAAAATAATTGATCGTCCGACATTCCATGTATCAATACTTTGGGCAAAAGAAACTTTCCATGCTTAAACAATCCTCCTTTTTACAATTGCCACTACTATCTTGGCTCACTGTATTAGCCAATGCATTATTTGCAATAATAGTTTGCTGAGGTTGCAAAGTAAAATACCATTTAATATGTGAGGTTGAAGCCAATCCAATTACTACACCAACTAAAAATATGATCAACATTAAAATCACCATTAAAAGACTAATTGTTAAGTCTTTTGCTACTGAAAATAGTGAGTCTACATCCTCTCCCTTATTTTTCATATTCACCTCCTCTTTCTTCAACTTTCCAGAATCAAAATTTAAATCATTGAGAATACAACAATTATTGCACTCTTCAATAGAAAACTAGTTAGAGTTTGGTTCTTCTACATATAGTATACTCTATTCTGAATACCAGAAATCTGAGACAATTTATAACAATTAATAGCTATGTGATCATCAATCCTCTATATATATTGATTCTATTCCGTTCTAATCGGTCCAGCTCATTAATAATTTGTGAAGATAGTTTGTAAATTAACAACTACGGACAGAAGGTATTACTGTTTACTATGATGCCCTGGGTTGCTTTAATGGTGTCTCTCACTTTGATTTCTGTGCTCACCAAACTTCCTATTTTTTCTTTTCCTATTTTGCCATTTCTATTTCGTTTTTTTTCTTTACTTCTTCCATCTAATTGTAGTATTGAAAATGTTAGAAAATGAAGTAGTGATCCCATCTGATTGTAATTGTCATGACCCGGATTTCTCACCCTCGGGAGTCGTGATGGCGCCTACTAGTGAAAGCTAGGCAAGCCAACCAACTGAATTATTTGCTTTCTCCATTTTCAAATTCGTTAACAGTTATAAGCCAACAATTAATAAACGATATAATTTAACAAGCGGAAGAATAAATGTCAAGTTTAATAGTACTACTAATATCCTCCCATAACAAAACCACCCAAGATTTGGTGTCACAACTTCACAGATTGTGTAAGAATACTACAAATAAAGGTTTGAAAGAAATAACAAAATATTGTCTCTGGAACTACATAAGAAAAGCAGGAAAATAGATAGAGGGAGACTCCAAGGCCTGCCGACGCCTGCAGGACTACCTCGGGTCGCTTGATAAGCAAGAAGCTGAAACCTCACTGCGGTCCAAAATCTGCAGCACTGGGATCTGCACAAAAGAGTGCAGAGTGTAGTATCAACACAACCGACCCCATGTGCTTGTAAGTACCTAGCCTAACCTCGGCGAAGTAGTGACAAGGCTAGGACCAGACTACCAAGTAAACCTGTGCAGATAAATAATGTACAACGGAAAAATAAAAGCAGAAACATATATAATCAAGGATGGGAGGGGGAAACATGCTGCGGGGAAACACCAAATAGCAACAGGAGAATAGCAGTTAAATATATGGAACACCACAATTCAATTATCAACAGGAATCGAAAATCAAACAAGTGTACGGCATCACCCTTCGTGCTTTTACTCTCGTCCTCACCGTAATATCAATATAAAATGCACGGCATCACTCTTCGTGATTTTACTCTCGTCCTCACCATAATATCAATATAATCGGCACGGAATGGTACATCGTGCGGCACGGCATCACCCTTCGTGCTTTACACTCTTCCTCACAAATAATGATAATAATACATGGTATCACCCTTCGTGCTTTAACACTCTCTCACCAAAACAATGCACGGCATCACCCTTCGTGCTTTACACTCTTCCTCACCCAAACAACAAACAGAAACAATAAGGGCAAGGAATAAATGAATCATAATAAAAATCCCGGCAAGGGAACAATAGCAAAACCACAACATCCCGGCAAGGGAACAACATTTAAAACCACAACGTCCCGGCAAGGGATAAATACCACAATTCTCTCCTCATTTTCACATTTACCTCACAACTTGGTTCACAAATTGAGCCAATGCTCTACAAGGTTCAATTACCAATTACACTTCAACAAATTCATTTTACAACTTGAGCCAACGCTCTTCAATATACAAATACCAATATTCTTTCCAGAACCTTGCTCAACGATAGCAATCAACACATTAAACATGAACCGTACAAATAAAGTCACATTAATCACAACATAAGACTCACGGGCATGCTTGACACCAACGTATAGATACTCGTCACCATGCCTATATGTCGTACTCAACACATAACACATAGCATATAAGACCACACTCCTATTCCCTCAAGCTAAGGTTAGACCAAACACTTACCTCGATGCCTCGTACACAGTTCAAGCCTCAACTATAGCTTTACCTCTTGATTTCACCACCAATTCGCTCGTATCTAGTCACAAGTTACTTAATTACATCAATGAATGCTAAATAAACAAATTCTAATGCATGAAAATAAGTTTTCTAAAGTTTTTTCCAAAAAGTCAAAAATCGACCCTGGGCCCACATGGTCAAACCCCGAGGTTCGAACCAAAATCCGACTACCCATTTACTTAGGAACTCAAATATATAATTTGTTTTGAAATCGGACCTCAAATCGAGGTCCAAATCCCCAAAATTTGAAAAAACCTAGGTCTACCCAAAACACCTAATTTCCCCCATGAAAATCATTGATTTTGAGTTGAAATCATGTGAAAAGATGTTAGGGATTGAAGAAAACTAGTTAGAAACGATTTTTTTTTGAACGTTAAAACAGGATATTATATATATATACTAAGCTGCGTTTGGCATATTACATTGTTCTTCGCTTAATGCGAAGAGTGAAGGATCAGATGGCCCTTCCTTCATAATGTTTTGATTTCCTAGGCAAAATAGCATATTACAGATACTACTAGATACATTCTTAGAGAAAATAGGATCCCCACTCATATCATTTGCAAGCGTTTTTTTTACAAAAACTGGTGGTGACACTAATACTTTAACTTCTTCATGCATATTTTTGCTGTCGTCCTCGTTTTTTGCATCTTTTGCTAGTGCATCCGCCACCCTATTGCCTTCTCTGAAGTTATGCCTCAGTACTAGGTCCTTCAGCTGGAGCATTAATGACCTGGAAAAAAAGATTACGTTATTTAGAGTAGCATGGCCATTTTCAATGGCTTTGATGACGTCTATTGAATCTGTTTCAATTTCTAATGGAAACAGCATGAATCTGTGAGCTAATTTGAGGCCTTCCTGGAGTGACTGTAATTCAGCGTGTAGAGGACATATGGCATTGGTTTTCTTTTGGAAGCCAATAATCCACTTCCCCCTCCAACTTCGGAAGACTCCACCTATGCCACTTTTGAGGTTATCATGAGCACCATCAACGTTGAGTTTGTACCACCCCTTTTGAGGGGGATGCCATTTGATGTCAATGGTCAATTTTTGAGTAATAGGGTTACTGTGAGAGGTCATGAAGTGGAATTCCATGGCATGATGTACAATGGTTTTGAGTGACGGGGAGAAATTGGTGTTGTTTATGTTGTTGCTGTTTCTATTTAATCAAATTCCCCATACTACGAATGGAAGGAGTTGTTGCCAGTCAATGAATGTATTGGTGAATTTTGGGGATTGGTTTTTGAGAAAAGACAACCAATGCTCATGGAGTTATGGATAGTGATTAAGCCTAATTGTGCCCATAGCCTTTGGACAGTTGTGCAGGTGAGGAAGATGTGCCGTGGGGATTCCTCATCAGTATGGCACTGGCACAATTCTTATCTATGTTGATGCCAATGTGTTGGAGGTATTGTCGGCAAGGAATTCTGTTGTGTAGACATTGCCACAAGAAGCATTTTATTTTATTTGGGCATTTGAGTTCCCAAATCCATTTAAAGTCCAGACGAGGGCATTGATTTTCCTGGAGGAGTTTGGCACATGACTTGGAGGTGAAGCTTCCACTAGGAGATAGGGACCAAACGGGTGTGTCTTGGGTTTTATTAAGGGAGAATGGAATCTTGTTTATGTTGTTTGAAATTTCTTTTCGGATATTGAAGGAAAGATTAGATAAGTTCCATTGATTGTTGACATGATATCTTTAATGGTCATGTTACTTTCCTGATGAGTGAGAGGTCCCTGAAGACATTGTCTGAGGGATGGGCAGTTGGGAATCCAGGAGGAGGTCCAAATGTTGAGACTTGAATTACTACTTGGTAACCAGGTTATTCCTTTGGAGCAAGTGGACCATCCTTTGAGAATGCTTTTCCATACAAAGGAGGAGTTTTTTCTTGGGTTGCTTTTGGCATATTTATGGATGATGGTGCTTGACCATGGGGCAGTTGGATTGGTAATGAGCCTCCATGTAAGATTAGAGAGAGAATTTAGGTTTTTGTTAATAGCAGTATGGAGGCCAAGGCCTCCCTCCTCTTTTGGTTTGGTAATTTTCTGCCAATTAATGTAGTGGATTTTTTTTGAGTCGCTATTTGTACCCCAAATAAAGTTTCTTTGAATACGATCAATTTGCTTTAGAGTTTTATTTGGGAGGAGTGTATAATGCATGGCATGGCTTGGGATAGCATTTAGGGTAGAAATTGCTAGAGTAGTTCTTCCGGCGATATTGAGAAGCTTCCCTTTCCAGGATGAAAGCTTCCTATGCATATTGTCAATGATGTATTGGTAGTACTTTGGGGTGGGGTGATTGTTTAGGATTGGGTAGCCCAGGTATTTCCCAAAAGACTTGTCTATTTTGATGTTGAAATAGGAGGCAATCTCCTGGGCAGTATTGGGGTGACAGTTCCTGGAGACCAAAATTTTTGATTTTTGTGTGTTAATGTTCTGCCCAGACAACTTGCAAAAATAGGAAAGACTGTTCTTTATTGTTTTGCAGGATTTTTCATTAAGTCTAGACATGAGGGTTAGGTCGTCAGCAAAGAAGAGGTGAGATATGCCTGCATCTTTTGGGCTAAGGTGAATTGGATCCCATTGACATATATCCACTTGATGGGAAATCAGACGGGAGAACATTTCCATACATAGAATGAAAATATATGGAGATAGAGGGCACTCTTGTCTTATTCCCCTGCTAGGGCTGAAGAAGTCAGTCATGGTGCCATTAACTAGTATGGCAATTCTACTGGAGCAAATACAATTTAAGATTAGAGTCGAAATAGTTGGAGGAAAGTTGAAAAATTTGAGCATGCTGTGGATGAAGGACCATTCAAGGCGGTCAAATGCTTTCTCCAGGTCTAATTTGAGGATCATACTGGCCCTTTTTCCTTTCATTTTCTTGAAGTGATTGATGATTTCTTGGACCAATATGGCATTATCACTGGTTCTCCTTCCTTTAATGAAGCTAGCTTGGAAGGGGCTGATCAGATTGTTAAGAAAAGGTTTGATCCTGTTTGCGATAATTTTGGTTAAAAGGTATTACAAAGCCCAATTGGCCTGAAGTTTTTAAGGTTATTAGCATTGTTGAATTTTGGGATAAGGCAGATGTAGGTATCATTGATCCCTATAGGGAGGCTTTTGTTTTTAAAAACTTGGTAGCAACCCTTGATAACTGAGGGCCCGACAATGTTCCAATATTTATGGTAGAAGAAAGGATGGATACCATCTGGGCCTGGAGCCTTGAACGGCTTAAAGGAAAAAACTGCATTGGTGATCTCACAGGGCTTTAGGGGATTGTCCAGGCTGATTAGGTTTTGTATATTGTGGGCACAAGGATTAGGATTGTAGTCCTGCCACTTAGAATATTCAAGAGAAGTGGTGAAGGCATTTTTGAAGAATTGCTTAGTATGATTTAGAAGGTCGATAGGATTATCAATCCAATTACCCTGGTCATCTTTATAGTACATAATTTTGTTTTTCCTTCTATTATTTGTGGCCATAATGTGAAAAAACTTTGTATTAGAGTCCCCTTCCTGGATCCAGGAAACTCTTGCCCTTAATTTCCAGTAATCATCTTCCATTTTTAGAAAGTTATCAAAATCATATTGGAGGGATCGTTCTAAGTTTTGGAGGAAGATGCTATTATAGTAGTTATTGGATTCTTGTATGCCTTTTAGTCTGGCCAGAATTCTTTTCTTCTCTTTGCGTATTTTACCAAAAATATTAATATTCCAATCTTTGAGTTTCCTAATAAAATTAT